CCCGGCTTCAGATGAGGCAAGTTTCTATTTACTTGTTTTGAGGTGTGGTTTCCATGAGAAGCGTATTTCCCCCGTAGACGCGGGACGGTGAGCTAAGCTCCCGCACGTTTCCCTGAAGGAGAAGGAAAAGGAGGGCCGCCGTCCTCCTGTGCAACACCAAAGGCCTTGAGGTGGGATGGGAAAAGTACCGCACTGTAGTGGAGCCTTGGAAAAAACCCAAACTTTCCACCTTTTTTCTGGCCCTGCCAGCCCTGTGCTCCGGGTTTGCAGGGAGAGAGTCTGGGAACCCACGGAAATGTTGGTGACCTCCCTCTTCCCACATTTATCCCCTACCATTTACAGACGAGGCTCTTTTTTTTTGTCTGTTTGTTTATTTTTTAAGCGTAAAAAGTGTTTTTCTGGTCAACCTGGCACTTCTCCCCTTTGCCTTCCAGTTGACGGCAAGTAGGATGTCTCAGAGCCTGGACTCAGAAAGCTAATTACAGAACCAGGAAAGAGTTCAGCGTAACATTTCTTGACACAAACTGTATCTTTAGCAATATGTAGCCGCTTGATGCTTGTTATTACTAATGTAGATCTGGCTGCTCCCGTCAGCGTAGCATTTAAAGTCATGCCGGCTAATTTCCATCCAACACGAACACGTATTCACATTTGTACAATATGCGACTGCAGTGTCCTTTCCCGAAGACTCATTGCTGCTGTTTCTTTCCCCATTCTAGCCTAGAAACAGGTGTTTTAACAAACAGATTTTAAAATCACGCTTTGTTTTTGTGTGAGTCCCCTTCACATAACCCTAGTTTAGGCTTAAGCTTCCAACTGTGTTTTTCCAATGCCCTTCATGTACCCTATTTCAACCCAGTTAGGATTCGAACGACGTTTTTGACCCTCTGAAATGACAAGTTTCATATCAACTGCTCCGTATCAGCTTTAAAAATGCAAAACTAGTAATACTGCTCTGTGCTGTCTGGAACTTAATTTGTCTGCAATTCTCCTATAGGGCTCGGCAGCATCTGAGGTAGAGCTTATACTAGTAACTTTCAGACATTTATGTAAATTGTATGGCTGTAGTAACTGAAATGTTTTTGAGACTTGCATACTTTAATTATATGTTTTACCTCCATCTGATTAAATGAATGATAAACAGATAATTTCAAAATTGTTTTTTTTGTTTTGCTTTGTTGTATGTATGTACATTTATAAAGGGCCTGCTCTGGCAAACGCTTTGGCAGGTTAATTAGAACAGTATCACTGAGTAAAGCTCTGTGTATACTTAAACATTTTCAGAAGCAGCTCTGAGTGTGTTTTAATTTTTTTTAAAGGATATAATTAGATCCGAAGTGCTGGTAAACAAATCGAATACCATCGCCATGTTTTTGCGCTAATGATGGGCCCGGTCTTAACAGTCTTTTGTCCAGCAACAGTCAATGGAAGATTACTAAAAAGCGTATCATTTTTAAAGGGGGATTTTTTTTTTATTTTGGCATTTCTACTGTCGCTAACAATTACACAGGCAAGTCCGATCGACTCTCGTTCCTGCTCAGGTTTGCTGCTTATCTATGCAGTGCTACACCGTTTAGCTTCTAGATAGTCTAAATGAATGCTTAGATCTGGACAAAAAAACGATTGGCCAACTTGTTTTAAGAATTTCCATTGTTATGA